AGAGAGAGAGAGAGAGAATCCGAGATATCAGTATAAATATAAAATAATTATTAAAACATAATTTAAGAAAATCTTTCTAACATCTATAACATTTCTAAGAATTATCTAGATATATTTCTTCTAAACTTTTCGAAAATATTATTTTGTAAAACAGTTTTGTCTGACTGACGCATGTACTTGACACTGACTGACGCATGTATTCTTTTTTATCTTTTTTTCTTAGAAAAATAACTTTTTAATATCTTGCTAATGACGATTTTCTAACAGTGCTCTTTCAATTTTATGTTTTGTAGTTCTGCACGCTTCTAGCTGCAATCTTCCTCTTGGAGGTTATAGGAGGCACGATGGGATACGTGATGAGGGCACAAGTTGCGTCAATTGCCGAAAAAAAGATGCTAGAGACCATGCCCAAGTATAATGACAGCAAAGAGATCGCACAAGTGTGGGATCATCTACAAAGAGACGTAAATCTGCAATTATATATAATTATCGTATCTACATGAACAATCGCGCCATATTCGTTTAGAAATAGCGAATTATGTGCGAGTGTTTTTTTTTTTTTTTTCCTTTCCCGATAGCGCGGCTTTGTTAAAAGTTTTTCGCGCTTTGCATTATGTCTTCCCCAGTCGTGGGAGCGACCCGGTCGTCGTGAGGATATCGCGGACGACAGGCGACAGGGATAATTTCAGTGCCTGGCTCTAATACCTCGTGTGTATAATATATGTATGTGTGCTAGCTGGCGTGCACGCCACCAGAAGGGTAGTGTAAATCGATTTTTACATCGCCGGCTTCCTTGACCACTCTTAACGATCTATGTGTATGCATATAATAATAATAACAACAACAATAATAAAATAATAATAATAATAATAATAATAATAATAATAATAATAATAATTAGATTTATCGAATGCAGTTATGCAATAGAACTGATTAATTTAAAGCCTTACTTGAATATGCATACATATATACAAATTATACATACTATGTGTATATGAAAACGCGTCGTGGAGCACTTCCTGCGAAATCTCTCGCAACTGAGATCGTAATTGCATATTTCTATATTGGCGCTTCAGCAGCGTGGTAATCATGAATTTTGTTTCCTTGCAGCTTAAATGCTGTGGCACTCTCAACTATACGGATTGGCTGGAAGAAAAGAATAATATATCAGGTATCCCGATGTCATGCTGTGACAACACAATAGGCGCCGTCGGCACGTCAAATTGCACTATGAAATCACCGACTTTGCATCAGAAAGGCTGCATGGACGCGTTCGTAGGTTTCGCGAAGGAACACGCAGCCAAGATAGCGGGTGTTGGAATAGGCCTTGCTATAATTCAGGTATTTCGATTGCGTAAAATACTCTGCTGGAATAATCTAATGAATCTGAGATATTTGCATTTTTATTACTAAATTGGAACAATTGATGTATCATGTTGCAGCTGGTGGGAATTTTCTTGTCATTCTACTTAGCCAAATCGATCAAGAATTCTTACGAGACTATGTAGAATAAAGTGTGAAAGTGTTAAACGCACCGGAAGCGGCATTACATTCCTAGACGACAGCCGAACAGGATTTCCATTAGGATATGAGGATGTTGCATGCATCTGATTGAATTGATCTGATATATCGTGCGAACGCATTATTTGTCTTTATAAGAGTAGTAAATTATTTTTGCTACATTGCGCTGTACACGAATCATGCGTGTTTTTAATAAAATCTTTACTGTCCTATCTGTTTATTGTCGAGCTTAACAATGACTGATTATCAATCCTGATTAAAGTCTCGTTAACAAATTCGCGTTCTTTTATTTACACACATGGAAGAACAAAATGCAAAGAAATCTGTTCATCTGAGCGATGAAATTCTTTTCAAAAAAAATTCGTAATTTCTTTTCTTCATAGATCTTTGCAAATTTCAAATAAAAAATCGAAGCATTCGCTTCGTGAACATACGCACATACGCACTAGCAACACACAAAATTAACTTACTCGTTTACGTATGAGTCATACTCGTCGCGTTATTGTTTTGTCCACGTGTAAACGTAGCAACGAGCGCAAATGAATGTCTTTTACTATACTTATCAGTTTTAAAACTCTCTTTTTAACTTGATACACACACACACACACACACACACACACACACACACACACACACACACACCACACACACACACACACACACACACACACACTATAATAATAAT